GAACAACAATTCAGCCTGCAGAGCATAGAAACTTTATTGCCTTACTTTTCATGTACATATATTTACATTCAAGGTGTGCAATAGTCATAATGTTCACTGCTGGAGAAACTGCTCTGCAACCAACTCCCTGAAAATCAATACAGGACTGGATTATACTGAATTGTGTTTTCCAAGGCCATTTATATTGGCTGAATATGCATATCCAGGAAGACTGCCAGTGTCAAGCACAAATCATTTTATATTATATAATGATTTATCTGAATAACATAGGAAATGTTTTCTTTTATAAAAAGATGAACATAACGAAATGGTCAATCTCAAATCTGAACCAGGCTGGGCTTATTTATATGTATACTGCCTTTGCAAATTGTTGGGTAAATCAGAAAATCCATCCCATCTGTTTTCTATGTTTAACATTTTATATCAATGTAACATATTCATGTTCTTATTTTCTTTAGGTGAATCACTCCAGTACATACCTAAATTGCAAATTCTGGACTTATCATGGAACAATAACTTAGGTGGGACCCTATCTAGACTAGCACAGCATCTAGCAGATAATTGTGAAATAAAGACGTTGAGTTTAACAGAGTGTAGCCTTACAGCAGAAGATATTGAATCACTAGGTAAGCAAAATAATTTACATTATACTGTACTTACAGTTAAAAAAAGAAATATCAAATATTGTGTTCAAAGCAAAAAAAAGTTTAAATAAACGTGACCCAAAACCATTATAGCAAAACAAATGGCAAACATGCTCATCAATTTGTTACCAGCTTTACAGCAAGGTGCACATGGAAGGGCCTAATACAGTACAAACAGCAAAAAGTTTTCTCAGCACAAGATTTGGTGCAGTGATGCATGGGCATGGGCATTGTGCGTCCCTGTGCCTTTAAGGGAGGTTGGGCTTCCTCCTGAAAAAACCTGCACCCAATTTTATCTTTTGCCACATGTTCTCCAAGATGGAGACTCACATAGTTTAGAGTTAGGACGCACAGCACAGAGGTCAGTGTGAAGCACAGCGCAGAGGTCATAGTGACGCACAGCGAAGAGGTCAGTGTGACACACAGCGAAGAGGTCATAGTGACGCACAGTGCAGGGTCAGTGTGACGCAAAGTGCAGGGTCAGTGTGACGCAAAGTGCAGGGTCAGTGTGACGCAAAGTGCAGGGTCAGTGTGACGCAAAGTGCAGGGTCAGTGTGACGCACAGCGCAGAGGTCAGCGCAGGGCCCCTGTGAAGTCCCTTCTATGATGTGACAGCTACTATCAGAGTCACAGGGGGTGCAACAAAGTAATACAAAAGTATTTCTATTTTTTGGTTCTGTTGCTCTTGCTTGTGTTCCTAGGAGACTCAGAACAAATCTCAGAAAAAAAAGGTGACTGCTGGTACAATCCCAGAAAAAAATATTCGCTTTTTTTGTGATTGGTCACCATATATAACAAGTGATGTTTTTTACTTTTCTATTTTGTAGCACCCGTTATTGGCAAAATGACAAGGCTGGAAATATTGGACCTTTCAGAAAACAAAGAACTTGGAAGTAAAATCAAGAATCTTACTGAAGAACTCAAACACTGCTCATGCTTAAATGTGTTAAAACTCCGCTCCACTGGTTTACATCAGGACACTGTACAGTATCTGAGTAAGTTATTCTAACTTTATTAAACTGCAATATTGTGTCTCATGGGGAACTAATAAAAGCCTAACTCTAAAGTTTGTTATTCAAGTACAGTATATGTAAAGTCTAAATATACTGGTTAACTTGCAGTGTTCTTTGCCTTTACAGATTGTTATCAGTCAGCATTAATAGCAGCTTTCTCTGTAGACTGCAGAACACTTTCCACCATGTTATGGAGAAGAGGAAAGGGGAAGTTGTTCTGTAATCCTATCCTAATTTTCCTAGGACAAGATACTGTGATACTGGGGGATTTATCATAGCAATTGCGGGTGTTTGCACGGAAATTGCACGGAATATATGTGACACACTTTGCGCCAGATTTATGTTGCTAGTGTAATGTTGTTGATAAATGAGGTTAAATAGACTCCAGGACAGAAGACTCGTAACTCCAGGCAAAAAGCTTAACTGTCGCTTCTTGAAGAAGTGGTCATGGGGACTTCTTAAGTTGTGATTGTTTTGTTAGGTGATGCTCCAGTTTCAGACAGCCCAGAACAAGTGCAGATGTAAACAGTTGCAAACTTTCTTAAAACAGGCGCAATTGGAAAAATAGTGCAAGCTCTGGTCAAAACAGGCGCACATGTTAAAAAACAGATTTGCACATAAAATAAATGATCTAAGAGGCTAAAACGGTCGTAAGTGCTTTGATAAATCCCCCCCTGTATGTATTACTGATAGGATCACCAGGTAATAACCTGAAAAAAGAAAACTAATGCAGCCACCACATCTCATGGCTGGTAAGCTGCAATATATCACTCTTTTGTTCTTGGGTTTAGATATGCTTTAAACCTAAAAAAAGTAAGCAGTCCAGCATGTTTAAAAATAATAAAGCAGCTTTTGCTGCAATACTCACTTCCTCTCCAGCTCCACTCTGCGGTTCAGTGCTGGACCTCATGTCAGTTGAATGATGCCCACCATTATCCAACACACTTCCTGTGAGCCCAGGTTGTCATGGAAACATTCACTGGGGGTGCATCATCATGCTTGCATGGAGTCACAGTACTATTGCACAGAATGACGCTCACACATGATTATTGTGAGTGCTACTCTATCCCAGGGTAAGGCCCCCCCCCCCCATGCTGGAGAAGAAGAGGAAGGACCTGAGATGTCACATGACTAGCCAGAAGTTTACAGGAGTTAAAGTTTGTATAAAAGTTTTTTTTATTAATTGGTGTGAGCAGCTTTTAAGTGGGGGTGGGGGGTACGAAGGTTTGGCTTTTCTCTAAAAACCTGCTGTTGGCCTTTAAAAACGAGGTTGCGCACTGAAAAGTTTACACCATAGGCTCTATTCACAAAGCTAACATACCAGGATAAGAATACTTATTTTTTTTTTAAAGTCACAATTACTTTCAGTCCAATGAGATTTTAAAAAATGCAGTTGCATGGCTAAAACTAGAGCACCTTGTGTAGAGCTTTATGAATGAGCCTCATTACTTCATGCCCTATTTTGAAAGCCTGTACGCCAGAGGTTATTTAGCACATTAATAAAGGATTGAACAATTTATTGCATCTATCTTATAAGTGTGCTGCAATATAAGGGAAGAAAAACAAAAATTGTTGAAGAGCAAAACCATCAAACATGCCTTTATAAACAAGTAGAAAAAAATCGGATGTATAAAAACAAAAGTTTAACCAAAAAGTTGCGATCATAGCTTGTGAGTTTATTTATGTATTTAGTAGGGCTGTGGAAATTAAAGATTAATCTCTCGATTAATCGTTAAACTTTTTGATCGATTAAAATAATTTTGATCGCTAATGAAAACACTCACCTCTCCGCCGGCTTCCGGGAGTCCCGTCGGCCATCCGGTGACGTCACGGACATCGACGTCACTGGACTCCTCCCCCCTTCCCCAAGTGGCTCTGTCGGCTAACGAAGGGAAGGGGGGAGGAGTCCGGTGATGGCTAACAAAGGGAAGTGGAGTCCGGTGACATCGATGTCCGTGACATCACCGGACTCCTCCCCCCTTCGTTAGCCGACGGAGCCACTTGGGCCGGTGAGTTTGCCCAAGAAACTTTCTGCACGTGCGCCAGCCAAGGCATTGGCCTATACACATACAGCACAGCAATGAAGTAATAAAATGAATTAGGATCACACTAATCCAGCACGTTATTATTCTGAGTTGCCCCACTCAAGCGGCGGCCATATTGAGTGGGGCACGTGAGATTAATAACGTGCTGGATTAGAGTGATCCTAGTTCCTTTTATTACTTCATTGCTGTGCTGTATGTGTATAGGCCAATATAGTTGGATCTGTATGTGCGTTATAATTAATCGAAATTAATTGATTCATTGATTTAAAAAAATTTTTATTAATCGAACACGAAAATGTTAATCATTACCAGCCCTAGTATTTAGCATGTTTTCTCTTCATATTAGCAGAGTTTGAGCTGTATGTGGTTTTGTAATATCATGTACAGGCTTTAAATACACATGAAAGTTTTGCCAAGTTAGAATGGACAGTGCCTTGTTGGATAGAATGAAAGTGTCGCATAGTATAGTATCTGGAAATAACCATCATAGGACAAGGAGGACGATCATTCCACGCATATCTAATATTCTCCCAGCTTAGTAGTAGCTAGTGAAATGATAGCAGAAGTGATTGACATATCTGGGAAAACGATACAGTAATCATCATATTTAAAAAGTAGCTTATTCCTATTTTTTCAGGTTCTGCCTTCCAGTATTGGCCATATTTAAGAAAGTTGGATCTTTCCTGCAATAAGACAGCTGGGGGAGGATTCGGAGAATCAGCAGTTTGTCTAACCGCTTTCAAACAGTTGGAACTACTTGACATTCACCAGTGCTGTCTTTCTGGAGATGATGTTACCGCACTAAGTAATATTTTATTTTTCGGTAATGGGTTAGTCCACCCAGAACAGAAGCATTACTTTAGGGTAGATACCGACAGTTTTATTCAAGCATAAGCCTCTTTAGTAACTCCAATAGCATGATTTGTTGTTGAATTTGCAGTGATGCCCCATGCTTTGGCCATTCTGACATGGGTAAAAGGCCATGAACACATGGACTTTAGCTTGTTTTAGCACAACATGTGCATTAAGCAGTGACAGAGTATTTGCAAGGCATTCAGCAAACTTCAGTCATCTTTCCTGAAACATTTAAAGTGAATCTGTGGCCAGGCTATGCACATTCAAGTATTTCCATATTCTTAACCAATCAGCAAATGGGCTTTAAAACAAACCTTCACTGACCTCTAATGGGCTTTAAAACAAACCTTCACTGACCTCTGTAGCTACAGGCTCCATGGAGCAATTCAACCCTTTCAAGTTTACAGCAGAAGCAGTGAAGTAATAAAATCTGTTCTCCTAGTGGCTTAGTTCACCCTGCCTCCCCCTCCCAGCAGTCATTTAGCAGCTCATTGCTCTCTCCCCCTTGCTCCCAGCACTGATTTTGCAGCTTTCTAATCTCTAATGTACACATAGAGCAAGTGCTGCGGGAGAAGGTAGCAGACTGAGCTGAGCTTCTAACAGTTATGGACTTTAGTGCTCCTGCCCCGAATATTGAGGATACATTGCTCCACAGTGTCCACAGCTACAACGATCAGTTTTTAAATTCATTTACTGTTTGCTAAGCCTTTGTAAATACTTGAATGTCCATAACTAGGGATGCACCGATACCAATACTAGTATCGGTATCGTTGCCGATACAGAGTATTTGGGTGAGTACTCGTACTCGCCCAAATGCTCCGATGCCTAGCCCATTACTTCCTGTATCAGGAAGCCGGGCAGCACGTCATTACACGCTGCCCGGCTTCCTAATGTGTCGGGAAGCTGGCCAATGAGGAAGCCGGGCGCCGTGTAATGACGCAGCGCCCGGCTTTCTGATTAACCGGGAAGCCGGCTTCATGCTCCCTTGTAACCTCATGATGAGAGAGCATGGAGCCGGCTTCCCGGGCCAATCAGGAAGCCGGGGGCCGTGTCATTACATGGCGCCCGGCTTCCATGATTGGCCAGTAAGCCGGCTCCATGCTTCCTCGTCACATAGTGACAAGAAGCATGGGGGCGGCTTCCTTGCTAATCGGGAAGCCGGGTGGCGAGTCTTTACATGCTGTCCGGCTTCCCGGCTAATCAGGAAGCCAGGTGGGGAGTCATTACACGCTGCCTGGCTTCCTAAATGGGACTTCTGGTACTCGGCCAGAGATTCACTTTAAGTACCCCTAAGCTTCAGTTTGAGGATGTTAAATCTGAACTAAAGCAGATAAAAAAGACAAATGAATTCAGCTCTGTTTTCATTCTAACATAATTAAATTTGTTTTTAGGCAAGCAGTCTAAGAATATAATTTGACATGGAATCAGTCTTGCAGTTCTGCCGCTGTGCACATGTGTTAGCAAATAGCATGCTGATAGAAGGAGAGAGGAAGGGGACAGAGAGATGAGCTCATCAGTGTGCTGCTTCTCTCTCACTGTCCAGTCACAGGATGGGGGATGGACAAGACCTAACTATATTTCTATGCAGCAGAGAAAACTACAGTCTCCTGTCCTAGCGGACAGGGCTGTGCGATATTACATGGGCTGAGTAATTATCAGAACTAGGAGGACTGAAATACAAACACTATTTTGGTGGGTGAAGCAGTTCCCACATATGTATTTCTGTGTATTTAACTATTTCCTTTCTTTCTCAAACAAGCTTCAGATGTAAATGTTTCTTTGCATTTCAGCCCAGGTCATCCCCCTGCTGTCCAATCTTCAAGCGTTGGACATATCTTCGAATAAAACTGTAGGACTTTCTCAGGAGCACCTCTTCAGCCGATTGCGTTTCCTGCCAAAGCTTAAATCTGTCAATGTCAGCAACTGCATGCTAAAGAAAGAATCCTTTGCAGGACTGGGTATGGTGTTGCACCTCAGTACATCATTTTTAGGGTAGAGTAAATCGAAGCTTGACATTAATGTAATCGTATTCTGTAGATATGTCTTTCTTGTACTACTTTCTTTTAAATAGTATGTAAAGATATAATCCAATGGAATGAACATGCTGTTTAAATTGACACATTGAAGACAGCCTTGCATAGTGCCTCTCACATTGGTCCTGGCACTGATTCTGTGCACTGTGCCACCAGCACTGTAAATCAATATGGTTATTGCTAATCTGTTCTTCCTGAGACTGTCATTGGCTGGCATTGCAAATACATAGTCCAGTATGTGGCAGTTTTTAATGTAGCTGATCTGAAAACATATAGGTGGCATGTATCACAATATGTGTACCCCTTCATATTATGCATGCTGATGTCATTTAGAAACAAACTATGTGTACTCCGTATCTGTTTCCATTATAGGAGGTAAGGTATAACATCTGCAGGGTAAAGAGAAACCTTAATAAAATCCTGACAAAGGTTTTAAATCGTTCTCACTCTATCGAAACATTGTCGGCTGCATTTCCATTGTATCATGTTAAATATGCTTGCATGGGTGGAGTGAAATGGTAGGGGGTTCTATTTATTGCACAGTGAGAACCACTAGAGATGCACATGGCAGGAGTAAGTTGTCTGGTAAGCTGCAGGAGTTCTAAAAGAGGGGGCTGCAATGTACAGGGTGCCTGGCATGATGACATTACAGCCCCACACAGAGGCAATATGTACATCTCAATCTGGTTGCAAGATCTTATGGGAAAGTCATACAATAATAAATCAAGGTAAACCGAACGCACTCTTTAAATTTAGAATACCAGCAAAGCTTTGTAGATGACATTTGCTGAGTCCTTTGCGTGGAGCCACTCCTTATAATAGTGCTCCAGTCCTAACAAAAACTGTGCATTTCTGTAATGTAAAAGGTTATACAAAGGAAATTTTACTTCTGCCCTTGCACAAAGCATTAAGGATTGATTCAGCTTCAGAATAGTTTTTGATGGACTTAACGTAACTTGCTGTTCTCTTATATATTACCTACCTCCAGCTGAAGCCACACGCTATCTAACAGACCTGCAAATGTTGGACCTATCATGGAATAAGTGTATTGGAGGAAATCTGAAACTACTTACGGAAACTCTGCACAGTGCTAATTCTCTCCAGAGTCTGTTACTGAGCAGTTGCAACCTGGTTACACAGGACCTGGCAGTATTAGGTAAGTATACCTGTTCCTGATAAAACTATCATGAGAGTCCCATGACTTGTCACTATAAGACTCCTTAACTTTAGCGAAAGCATTACTGCCCTATTGAAGGGTTAGAGTGGTAATATGTGGTGCATCATTTAAAGGGGAGCTTATACAAAGAGGGATTTCCTTTTATCAGTTGTATCCCAATATCCATTGTGATATCATACTGGCAATATTCTCGCAGTATATGTTGCATCCTAAATCCACCTGAAGTGGGTTTCTGCTTTCAGTGAAAAAGTAAAAGAACACCTTCTACCACTGCTATATGTACCTGTGCTCCATTACTGTACCAGTAACTCAATCTGTCAGGAAGAGCATTAGGCAAATGGTGACCTTTTCCAGATGATAGTGGAGGTCTGACAAGGAACGAGTTCCATTGGACTCAACCCAAGTTCAAAAGTTCAAGGACCAGATATGGCTTAGGCCAAAGTCAGAAGAAGCTCACTCTATGGCTTTTCATACAGTTACGTCATGTTTTCATGTCAGTAAGCTTTAGGGATTTAAACTTGAGTAGAAAAGATAGGACCAGAACTCTCAACCAAAGAAACTGTTTTGCACAGTGCTACCAGTCAAACATTTAATACTTGGACATGGATACAGGATGGAAGAGCACAGGGATGACCTCTTCAGTGCACTGCTGCTTCTTCATTACCCATTGAAAGCTGGGGAGGGTCCTGGACCAGGCTGTATTGCTTAACTGCTGTGTAGTCTGCAGAGACGTCCAGTAGTGGCTGTGCTGTTTGGCAGGGAAGTCTAAAGCACAGGGCAGGCTGAATAGAATTAATATGCTTTGGCAAATAAAACAGTTCACATTTATGTATCTCTATTGTTTAGGTATTTACCAGCTTTCAGAACACACATCCAGATATTCCCAAGGCCCTTTATTTCCTTTTTTCAATTTTAAAAGACCATGTATAAAGGCAGAGGTGCTCCTGCCTCAAGACAACACAGCACCCACTAAACCCAGTATGAGACAAGGTTCTTATAGCACATAATAGTCATCAGATGCTTCCTGTGAGTACTGAAAATGGCGAAACAACAACGCTATAAAGAATCTGAAGCCTTCTACTGTCTTCCAAGTGTCCTTGCTAACCAAACAGGAGTGCACTGGACTTATCATGGAAGCACCGGACTTATTCTGTTAGTTAGGGGGGCTTCTTCATCTGAAACACTATTGCATGAAAGAAATTAACAACAATGGGCAAAAAAAACATTCTATAAGGGAAATGAGTTTTTGCTTTGTGAGCTTGATAGATAACTGATGGATGTAAAACAGTTAACAAAATGTGATATCAAATGTATCGTTATCTCAATAAAATGTCCTTGCATACTAATAGCAGCGATTTCCATGTATTGCAGCATCAGCAGCACAAGCCAGTCATCTGGACAGCTTACAACAATTGGACCTCGCCTACAATGACACTGTACCTGATGAAGGCTGGTCCTTATTGTTTGAGAGTGTCCCTGCTCTGAAGAACATAACTGAACTAGATATTAGCTTACGGCCTGCTTCCACCCGTAATTGTGGTCCATGGTTCATTCACCTATTGTCCAACATACCAAAGTTGCCTATGTTGAAAGAGCTTGGTATGCAGCGCTGGGCACTATCCACAGCGGAACAACAGCAACTGAACAGGATCCACAGGGAGAATAACATCAGCATTCACTTTGACTGATTAAAAAGCTAGATTTTCTCCATTTTATTCCTTCTGGGATGGAAGAGAGATGGATGAACTAACACTTGCATGCACTCCACCTACTTGTATTCCTTCTGTAGCTATTTCACAATTGCACAATTACGGCAAGGCACTAAAACTGTACTTCATTTTGCTGACGTAGTCATTTGTGTGAGGCTTCAAAAATGAGTACTTTTGTCATTTGATTAAATAGCATAGATTTACATTAGTTTTTGTGTTGGATTTTTAAATCACATTCTGCATTATTTAGTGGACTGTTGGATCCAATTCATTTGTCTTGTACGTCATGCACAGATGTTTCATGGTGAACACAAAAGGAAATAAATATAGCAGTCTGAGAGTGTGGCATTCCATGTGAAATGTGTTTTGGAAGTAAAGTAAGATACAATTGTGTTAGGACAGTGTGGAATGTCTAACGGTATATAATAATGGCCTTTATTGTCACAAGAGAAACTGGTTTGATCACTCACATCCATTGTATCTGGGAATAATGTAATCACCTGTACTACTGCAGTGTGCAGAGTCTGTGCTCACTAAGGTTCTGCTGTATACTATATGTCAGTATGCTTTCGTAACAACAAAATGATCTCTATTTTATGTTAGATAGCAACACAGTGTTACTTCTTTTTCCCTTTTACAACACGTTTCTTGCCTTTTCCCTTCGCTTTCTTAGCCTTTTTTGATTTGCCTTTTTTCCAGATCTGAAGCAGGTAAGCATAGGGTCCAAGACCTTTCCGTACCATGATCCCACGCCACCACGCTTGAATCTGAAGTAAAGAAATAAGAAAGCAAGAATGATGTTTAGATTTTTAAATTCACTAGCAAAAGGTTGGCAGTTATTCCCATCCATGTTGAAGGCACCAGAGCTGGCTCCAGACATTGATCAGAGGGAGGAGCATTGTATCTTTACTGGGTGGGAACCATTACTATGGAAAAAAGAATGTTTGGGGCACATCATTGTTCTTGGGGAGGCCGTGTCTGCTATTGGATTCCCATGATGCTGGCTCTGAAAGGCCCACTAGCCACTGCAACCTCTACACCTGGGACATCATCACTTTTCTCTTCTCTTTTCACTGGTATAATGCAAATACAATGACATCACATATATTTCACACTTTACTGCATTAGTGCCAGAAATCACTTCTCCATTCATCTATTACAAAGTGAAGCCCCATACAAAATTAAGAAAACAGTAGACATTTTACTAACAGTTTTAGGACTTATGCACATGGCTGCCTATGGCCATACAGTGTAAATTACCCCCACCGAGAAGCCACAGGTGATGCAAACAGTCTCCCATAGAAGTCAATGGCTGTACACAGATATGCCCACATAACCCTACATGAGGACATATACCTGGAACAAGTATGCACATCAAAAACGTCTAAAGTATTTATCTGTAAAGTCTTCTACTGTAAAACACTGCGCAAACAGTTGGCGCTAAATAAATACTGTATAATAATAATAATGTATAATAATATCTCGATACTTATTCTGGCTCAGTGACTCAATGTATTGGAGCAGGAGGGCCAGCATGACTGCTAGGCAAGAAGCATTTTCATAAGGAGAGGTTAGCAATGGCAGCCTGCAGGTATCTCAGGATAGGTTTCTGATATGTGGGGCAAGTTGTCTTCTGACCATAGGCATTATATCCTATAAACACCATAATGTCATGTGATGTTGTTACCTTTGTTGCCATCTGATTTCTGTGCCTCTTTTCTTTAAGATATGTCCACACAGCAGCTTTTCCCTGGCTGCATATCTCCACTGGTGGGTCCGTCATAGGATTCCTCTCCAGTACAAGCAGATCAAGTGTTTGTAACATGTCCAGATTGTCTGGCAGAGTAGACAGTTGGTTGTTTTGAAGAAGCAGCTTTTGCAACCCTGAACAAGAAACAGGGAAACACTTCTTCAGAAAATGGAGTAGTGGCTTTATTACTTTATCACTGCAACACAGAATTGCTAAACTCTCAACAGATGTTTATTTAATGAGGTACAATAATTAGGTACAAAGGGCACATAAAAGCTCCAAAAGAAGCCAATCATATTTTGGGTTACTGTAGTCGTGATCAAATATTTTTACCATTAATGACTCCTATTTAGACAGCCATGTCAATGGTGCCCTTGTACTGCTCAAGGAGAGGAGCGAGCAATAAAAATAAACTCTACCCAGAGAACCTTATCAATCACCTTTCTAGCACTTCACTGACACATATGTGTACATTTTCAACTTGCATTAATTTGCCCATCCGTGTCAGCTTGTGGGCCATTGCAACTAATACAGGACCAATTAGAATGTGTCACTTAAAGATGAGCTTCCCCTACCCTCCCTTCCCCCTGTGAATATCCTTACCTTTATTCCTGAAATTACCTACTCACCTGCCCAGTGAATCCAGCATTGCTCTGTTATGATCAGCCACTTAGCTGCCACATGCTGCATCCTGCTCCACCATGTTCTTCTTCAACATCTCCAGGATCTCTCTGTCTTTTCCAGGCTCAGACAGCTGAACCTTGATGATGCAAGCCAGCTCCACCCTCCAACGTCGGGTCCATCCTCCTGGGATATGTAATAGAAGTTGAAGCCTCCTGGGATATGTAATGTGCATATCCTGGGAGACTTCAAGAGCAGGAAACATCATTCACACCTAGGCAAGAATGGTGGTTGGGGGGCAGGCTAGACTGGAGAAAAAATAACTCCACACACACACACAAAAAGTGGAAGTATGTATTGGGGGAAGTTGTAAATTTGAGTGTAGGTCCCCTATAAATAAAACATTTAAAAAAATTGTATTTATCATCTACAACAAAACATTATATTAGGTAATAAAAGTACTTGGGATGTGTATGTGTGGAACAGAGAAGACATGTTTTACACAAAAATAAAGTTCAGTAAACAAGTGTCCACATGCAAATATATTATGGTATACCTACCGTGGATTTTGCAGACTGAATCAGGTAGTTGCTTTAGATGGTTACTGTGGCAATCCAGAACCTCGAGGTTCTTTAGCTGATCCAGTGTGGCTGGAAGAGACTCCAGACTGTTGTTTTCAATGTACAGTTCTTTCAGATTCTACATTCAACAAGAAGTGGAATTGGTAAGGTTCACAATCAGTGACATAGTTGTAACTCCCCCCCCCCCCAACTAGGAGCTGCATCAGGAATTTTTGGATGAAGGGTCCAAGTCCCTGCTAACTATTACTAAGCAAACCAGCTAATCTGCTAAAAAGGATAATCCAAATAATGTGTTGTCTGTACACAACTGTATGTAAAGAAAATCCTATGCAGAGAGAAATATAAATGTTATCATTGCTAGTCTCCTTTTGAAAATGTTCTATCTGTCGTACTGATCCAATGGCTTCAATACTTTCCACAGAACACATATGCAGAAACTTATGTCACTACACCTCATTTACATACTCGTTCTGGGTTGGTTATTTGAAAGACACTGGATTAGAAGCTGCTAACATTTTTAAAGGACTTGACAGCAATGGCAGGCTATGCGTTTCTTTCAGCCCAGACAACTGGGAATCAGCAGAGACATGTTTTGTTTGCCCCCCCCCCACCATTTACACCTATAGTATGCTAATGCTACAAAGTAATTTAGCAGCCACATAACCTCCCCCCTAAAAAATTTTTTACAAATATACATATATAGTTAGTGTTATTGTTTTAGGCATGGTAACCACATAAAATGCATTTCTCTTGTAAACTGGCTGTTTTAAAAAAAAATCTCATGTCAGCGTAGATTTAAATTTAGAGTGATATAAATACATGGCAGAAGTTTTGCTCACCCAATGGTTTCTTAAATCTTTTGGGGATCTGGTGTAAAAAATTCTTAATCTGAGTTTGCATTTGACTGCTGGCATCCATTACAAAGTTACACAATTCCCCATTACGGACCCTTTAACATGGGCGGACCAGATCGGATGCCCAATGCTAGTCTATGGGCAGTCATGTGTCCATTTACACCCGGTTACCCCAAGTTTCCCAGGTACGGATAAATAAACGGATCAGAGATCCCTTTCCCCAGACCTGATCATGCTGGGTCCGCGATAAAAAAAAACCTGGATGGACACGGATGTCACAGTGGTGACATTCGATCCGTAATGCTCCAATCAGGACGGGAGCCGTGCATATTTCAGAATCTTCTTAAATATGTCATAATGCTGCTTCTTTTTAATAATTCTACATACAGTATTTATGCATACCCCATAAAAAATGGCTCCATTGCTATCAATTACTTTTGAATCTTTCAGTTATCTTATAAGCCATAACAAGTGTGTAGATGTGTGTGTGTTCAGGAAATAAGAAAAAATAAGATAAATATGACCTCACCGTGAGCATCCATATGTTGTCTGGTAAGTTGGTAAGTTGAGTGCCATGATCCTGTCCAATGTACAATTTTTCCAAGGATTCCAGCCCAAAGATCTCCTCTGGGAAAACGGGAAACCTATTTCCAGTCATTCCCAAATGGGTCAGGTTTTGTAGCGATTTTACTTGTGGTGTAATCTGAAAGAAGAGCATTTCAATACACAGAGAGATTCCCACTTTGCAAACGTATGTTTCATAAAGCACAACTCAAGTCAGGACTCATTCACACTTCTCAGTTCTTGTGTGTTGCAATAATGCACATATGTTAATATACGTTGCCTCATGTATTAATGTATGTTGTGTTAACTGTTAAGATATCCCATTTACTTTGAATGGACAGGAATAGACCAAAAAACAGACATGAAGAATTTTTTCTGATGCAGCACACAAGCCTTATTGAGTTGGGGTGCCATTCCAAATGAACACGTTGCCACAACACACCAAATGGTGTGTTTCAGCCCTCAAGGATTTTGATAGAGTGACCTCTGTCAGGATTTAAGATTCCCTTTACTTTGACATCAAGACAGGAAACCAGGGAAACATGGGTCATCAGGAAAGGATGACACAGACATCAATGAAAACCTCACAGACGTTCTAGTGTACTTCTAGCACCTTTTAGTCTTTAGTTTTAGGCCCCATTCACACACGAATGGGCCTGCATGTACAGCTCCGTGCTGCGTGCGGGGCCGTACCAAGCAGCTGCCGGGAAGGACAGGTGCTGCGTGTGATTAGTACGCAGCCCCCGTCCTTCTCTATGGGGCTACGGGGCCGTACGCCCCCTACGCTCACCTTAATTGCAGGTCCGTAGGGGTGCCGGTTTTCTGGCGGGGACGCATACAGGATTCATTCCGGCGGCATATCAATACGCTCACCCGCACCCCTACGGACCAGCACCTGTCCTTCCCGGCAGCTGCTTGGTACGGCCCCCCACGCAGCACGGAGCTGTACGTGCAGGCCCATTCGTGTGTGAATGGGGCCTTAGTCTTCCTCTGCTCTACCGAAAAAAGTGTTTTCACTGTTGTCTATGTCCACATTGCTGGGGTGTCTCATCACTCCCACTTTCCCACTATATGCAAAAGAAAAAAACGTTTGGCTAGAGTTTGGCTATAATTTGTCATGATATCTATTGATTTAAATACAGTAATACCTTGGTTTATAAGTAACTTGGTTTGAGAGTGTTTTGCAAGACAAGCAAACATTTATGAAAAATGTTGCCTTGATATACAAGCAATGTCTTGCAATAAGAGCAACATTTTGTAGAAAAGCGCCACCGAATAAGGCTGTAGCAGTGCGAGCGATGAGTCTATTTAACGACAATGCAATGTCACATTGGGTAGATTCCTTGTTAAGGTTTCACGAAATGAAAAAGATTCCATTGAGTCAAGAGATAGCAGTGATTCCGTTAGTGATAGTGAAAGTCGTCCTACACAATAATCCTCCTCTCTCTTGAAGGTAGCGGTAATTGGTTTATTTTTCTTTATATTTTGTACGGTATTATATTACAGTACTGTATTGTAATCATTTTTATATGAATATTTTTGGGTTGTGGAACGAATCATCTGAATTTCCATTATGTTCTATGGGGCAATTCGCTTTGATATACAAGCGCTTTGGATTACAAGCATGCTTCCGGAAAGAATTACGCTCGTAAACCAAGGTATTACTGTAGTTGCAAAGCAGAATTAAGGTGATACGGTCTATGTGTTTTTTTCCATCAGGCCTTCAGTATTTCACTTATTTCCAGCATTTATATAGTACTGACATATTACACAGTGCTTTATGGAGTACACACTGTAGATCAATTCAGTACAGTAAAACAAAGACACAATGATTTGTTTTGTACTTCAATGGTTTGATTGTGAATCAGTTTATTAAAAAGCAAGCCAAATCATTTTAAGAACACCAATGTGAATGGGCATCTGTGTGAGAAGAAATGTAACACTAACTTGGATATAAATCAAGTGTGCTGGATAATGAACCTCTAATGGACAGTTTGCAGTGAAAACATTCTGACAGGGTGTCAAGCAGAGTGGTGTCTGACTCAAATGGTACCTTGTTTCATTATCTAGCCCACCCAATTTATATCCCAGATAATTTTGCACTGCATCTCACACATATGCCTGTTTACACTGTTGTCAGCCCTGATAAAGGGGCACTGAGCCTCGAAACGTGTTGAGTTGTTTTCATTTGATCAACTGATTCACAATGAACAATGTTACACCTTCTGAATCCTCATTGTAGGAAAGGACCTCTTTGGCTTCTAACCAACTAAATGCACATCCAAAGTGGACTTGTGTTTAATTTACTTTCAGGAGACTAAACAAAGACCTTTGTATTTCAAAGAGAACTATTGGCAAACCTTTTTTGGCTTTAGTCCTCTTTTGGGTCACAGGAGGACATTAACTAATGTCCTCCTGTGATACAAAACTTAGTAAATAGTGGGCTATTGCCTGCTATATGCTGACAGCGCAGTTTTGCGCTGCAGCCGGGAAAGATCCACACACTACCTGCTTGACAGCTGGCTGTGCCCGCCCCATCTCCTGTCTGCCCCTCAAGTCAGCGCTGGAGTACCTGAGAATCCCTGTGGGGAGCAGTGACTGACAGTCACCACCCTCTGCAGGGAGAAGATCGTGAACTGAGCGATCAGTGATGTGTGCTCGCTCAGTTCTTGATCTATAGAGCCGACGTGTGACAGCTGCAGTGTCACACATCGGCTCTAACTATGGGGATAAGTGTATTTGACTCTCCCCATAGTTCTCCTTTCAAGACATAAAGACAATAAAGGAAAATAGAGTTTGCTGTTTATGTTTACCAGGCTTGTGTGTTCTTCTACATATTGTCAAATAAAATTAAACACAACACTAAAAATTACACCTAGCTGCATCATAGCGAGATACAGATACCAGCTGCACTGCATATAGCACTACAACCAAAGTAAATACGGTGGTGCTCATAGTTACATACATGGATGGCGCTGTGTAAAAAGTCACCAGCACTCCTTCAAGGTGCAAATGTACTCTTATATATTATTAAAGTGTCACGTAGGTCATAAAGCCGACGTTTTGAGGCCACGCAGGGTCCCTTCCTCAAGGCTGTCACTGTATTGCCTTAAGGAAGGGACCCTGTGTGGTCCCAAAACGTTTCTTCTATTCTTACCTAGCTGCATCAGAGAAATATCATTTTTACATCTAACCTGAGATTTTGTTACTTCATATCCTGTTGTTTCATGGAATGAGATTCTATTATCTTACCGAGCTCATTAAGTTGTCATCTAGTGAAAGAACTTGAAGATGCTTTAGAGAGCAGATCACCGTAGGGAATTCAGTAAAATGGTTTTGACTAAGGTCTAGTATCTTGAGAGATTCCAGCTTTGCAAATCCAGCAGGTAACATGGACAAGCCCGTGTTTTTCAGATAGAGGACACAGAGAGAATGTAATTTAGTTATTGTAGAAGGTAATTTTTCCAAGCTATTGTTTGACAGTCCAAGTTCATTCAGGTCTCCTAACTCTTTAAGGGAATGAGGAAACTTGTGAAGATGATTGCCAGAAGCATCCAGAACTTCCAACTTTGTGCACTGACTGAGAGTCTTTGGAATAAATGAAAGATGATTTACACTGATAAACAGCTTAATAAGATTAGATAAAGAGCAAATTTCTTCAGGTATAGTGGTCAGTTTATTGTTTTCAAGGTCAACAATTTCTAGGCTTTGAATTACACAGATCTGCTTTGGAAATAGGTCAAAGGTATTATTCCGCAAATACATTTCTTTAAGATGTGTTAAATTAACTACTTCTGATGGGAGAGATTTAAGGCTGTTGTTGGAGAGGCCCAGTAGGTGCAAATGATGGAGTTTTTTGCAGATCAGAACTGGAAATTCATGAAGGTTTATATTATACAGTCTCAACTCCCGAAGCTGATGCAGTCTACTTATGATCTCCAGGGAGCTCCAGTCAAGTGGGTTATCACTAAGGTCCAAGCTCTGGAGCATTTTTAGCTCTCCAAGCTCGTTACAAATCTGAGTAATATTATTATTATTCAAGTAAAGGACTTTGATATTATGGAGATGGTAGATTTCCTTAGGAATGGTTTCAATCTGGTTATTTTCTAAGTGCAGTTCTTCAAGATCTTCCAGATTAAGGACCTGACCAGGGATCTCCTTGTGCATCTGCTGAGCTGAATCCAAGAAGAGAACTCGTTGGTTTATCAGCATAGGTAGCTCAGACTCAGGTTTCCCTTGAACTGTCTCCCAGGTCTGCTCATTGGTATCCAATAACACAGATGTGACGGCATTTGAAAAGCGAACATTGAACATCTTGACTGATGCGTTTTGACCAAATTCAGGCATTTCTGCAGCTGTAGTCTACATATGTTTTAACCTACAATTATAAACAGAAAAACCTAATTAGATTTGTTTTGACTTGAGCATTTCTGCAAAGGATATTCTGGGGAGGTTAAAGTACTAATGAACAATATGGTATGCATTTAGAAGTAATATCTTTTTTTTTTTACAATGAATCAGTACTTTGGCTTACTGTGTCCGTGTCTATGCTCTTCCCACATATGAACTTCTCATAACAATTCCAAGCTTATTAAAAAAAATAATTTTATTGTAGCCAATTAACTAAAGTTTTTTTTAGAAAACTGTTATAAAGGAAAATATTGTAGGAATCAATCTGGTGTTCGATTTCACTACCTAACCTGTATTACAAAAATTCAATATGTGATTGGGTTACTTGTAAAGGCTTTCTTTGTGGCTCTGACGGGTCAAATGATCTTACACAGAGAGTCGCACAGTAAAGCTGGTCATACACTGTTAGCATTTCCTCTGTTTCACAGAAATCGAACAAAATTCTGACAGTTGGGGGCCCTGCTGGCTCGACAAAACTCAATTACTGACTCGTCTTTTGTCGAAGGAACCAAGAACATCCTTGACAAAGGGGTCTGGGTATCACAACATACCAACAGGCTGGCTGTTCTTTGGACCTACATTTTTGTCACTTTCTGTCTGACTCTGCCTTGAAATGCATATTGGATACTACCGTATATGCAGAAATTATTTTTTGCACTTTATACCTTCGTAATTTTTAAATATTACCTACTGCAGGGGTGCCCATTAGGTCGATTGTGATCTACCAGTCGATCGTGTAGCGATCAATGGTAGATCCCGACGTCCTGTCGTCCTGCCTTGGGGCTTCTTCTCTGGATCCCCGCTGCTCTCCCCCATCTGTATGCAGCGGGGATCCGAGTAGAAGTGAACGAAGCGCTGCAGCCGGCGGCGGGAGGGGGGGGGGCAGGGGACGGAGCCCCTGTCACAGAACTAACGCCGAGCGGTGAGGAGAGAGAGAGAGACGCTCGGCAAGGATCTGACAGCCGGCGCCTCTCTCTCTCTCTCTCCTCACCGCCCGGCCTTAGTTCTGTGACAGCAGCTCCCTCCTCCCCCCACGGCTGAAGTGCTTCTTTCACTTCTCCTCAGATCCACCGCTACCTCTGCCCGGGAGAGCAGGGGGGATCCAGAGCAGAAGCTAAGCCCCCATGTGCGTGGCCGAGCGGCAGAGGATCGGTACATATCAGTGATATGTACCAATCCTCTGTGTGCAGGGCAAACACTGGAGCGATAAGCTGATCACTCCAGTGTTTGTAAATAACTGGGGACACATGTGTCCCCAGTTATGAATGAACCGGGAGTGCTTTACATCACTTTCTGTTCATTCTTGAGTTTCTCAATGGGGAGTAGCACTACAGAACTGGGTTCTGGGTACAGGCGATCGCAATGTGGGCGAGGGGCCTGGCTGTAGGGCCTGGCTGCGGTGCCATTGACTTCAATGCAACCCCACGCCCCTCCCGCCCCTAAATGCAGGTGTTTTTTCGTTGGTAGATCACATTGAGATCACCAATTGAAAAGTAGATCTCAAGTTGAAAAATTGTGGGCGCCCCTGACATACTGTATTTTGTAAACCTTCATGATATTTGTACAATTGATGAAAGATTGTTGCATCAGAACTGTGGTTGGTGTGCTAACTTAATATTTTCCTAAACTGTTGAGCCACATAAGGAGGTTAGCTGGCTCCCGCATATACTGTAGTTATAGCACCCAGATGCTCCATTATGCTTACATTTGCTCTGTATATCTTTTGTATGAGGTGTGCCAGATATGGCTCTTAGATGTCTAATAGTACAAGTCCTCATTTGCCAGCTCTCCAATAACACTGACAGAGGGGACTTGAGGAGCCGGTAAGATTTTATGGTATCTGGTCCTGTCTGACCGGGGTCTGGAGAACTTCTAGATTGTATTCCCTCTGTAAAAAAGAAAAGCAATTCAGTCACACCAGAATAGTTCATTCAAAAACATAAAAAACACAAAAATACCAAGCAACTACTACTGACAGAATATGGAGGCTGCCATTGCCTACCTCTCCTTCTGAAATTGCTACTTGGCTGGCTATCCCTGGTTTTAATGATTTCTGAGTCACTGAATTAAACAATTCTGATCTGCTTACCTGTTGCCCCAACATCAGAGGTCAGTGGGAGCAAAAAACGCCCCTTGTCAATAAGAGTAGGAAATGCTCCTGTGTCAGTGGTACTAATAAATGACCCTGCATCAGTGGTCAGTGGGAGTAATAAATGCCCCTGCATCAGTGGTCAGTGGGAGCAATAAATGCCCTTGTGCCAGTTGAAGTAATAGATGGCCATGTGTCAGCGGGAGTAATAGATGGCCATGTGTCAGCGGGAGTAATAGATGGCCATGTGACTGTCAGCAGGAGTAGGAAATGCCCTTGCGTCAGCGGAAGTGATACAAGTAAATGCCACTGTGTCGGTGGTCAGTGGGAGTAATAAATGCCCCTATGTCCGTGGTCAGTAGGACTAATAAATGCCCCTGTGTCAGTGGTCAGCGGTAGTAATAAATGCTCCTGTGTCAGTGGTCAGTAGGAGTAATAAATGCCCCCGTGTCTGTGGTCAGCGGGCGTAATAAGTGCCCCTGTGTCTGTGGCCAGCGGTGGTAACAAATGCCCCTGTGTCTGTGGTCAGCAGGAGTAATAAATCCCCCTGTGCCAGTGGTTAGCGGGGGTAATGAATCCCCCTGTGTCAGTGGTCAGCGGGAGTAATAAATGCCCCATGTCTGTGGTCAGTGGAGTAATAAATGCCCCTGTGTCTGTGGTCAGTGGGAATAATAAATGCCCCTGTGTCTGTGGTCAGCAGGCGTAATAAGTGCCCTGTGTAGTGGGCAGCAGGGGTAATAAGTGCCCCTGTGTCTGTGGTCAGCAGGAGTAATAAATGCCCCTGTGTTTGTGATCAGCGGGGGTAATAAATGCCCCTGTGTCTGTGGTCAGCGGGAGTCATAAATGCCCCTGTGTTTGTGGTCAGCGGGGGTTAATAAATGCCCCTGTGTCTGTGGTCAGCGGGAGTCATAAATGTGTCTGTGGTCAGCGGGAGTAATAAATGCCCCTGTGTCTGTGGTCAGCGGGGGTAATAAATGCTCCTGTGTCAGTGGTTAGCGGGAGTAATAAATGTCCCTGTGTCTGTGGTCAGTAGGGGTAATAAGTGCCCTGTGTAGTGGGCAGCAGGGGTAATAAGTGCCCCTGTGTCTGTGGTCAGTGGGGGCAATAAATGCCCCTGTGTCTGTGGCCAGCGGGGGTAATAAATGCTCCTGTGTTTGTGGTCAGCCGGGGTAATAAATGCCCCTGTGTCTGTGGTCAGCGGGAGTCATAAATGTCCCTGTGGTCAGCGGGAGTCATAAATGCCCCTGTGTCTGTGGTCAGCGGGAGTCATAAATGCCCCTGTGTCTGTGGTCAGCGGGAGTCATAAATGCCCCTGTGTCTGTGGTCAGCGGGAGTCATAAATGCCCCTGTGTCTGTGGTCAGCGGGAGTCATAAATGCCCCTGTGTCTGTGGTCAGCGGGAGTCATAAATGCCCCTGTGTCTGTGGTCAGCGGGAGTCATAAATGCCCCTGTGTCTGTGGTCAGCGGGAGTCATAAATGTCCCTGTGTCTGTGGTCAGTAGGGGTAATAAGTGCCCTGTGTAGTGGGCAGCAGGGGTAATAAGTGCCCCTGTGTCTGTGGTCAGTGGGGGCAATAAATGCCCCTGGGTCTGTGGCCAGCGGGGGTAATAAATGCCCCTGTGTCTGTGGTCAGCGGGATAATAAATGCTCCTGTGTTTGTGGTCAGCCGGGGTAATAAATGCCCCTGTGTCTGTGGTCAGCGGGAGTCATAAATGTCCCTGTTTCTGTGGTCAGCGGGGGTAATAAATGTCCTTGTGTCTGTGGTCAGCGGAAGTCATAAAATGCCCCTGTGTCTGTGGTCAGCAGGGGTAATAAATGCTCCTGTGTCAGTGGTCAGCGGGAGTAATAAATGTCCCTGTGTCTGTGGTCAGTAGGGGTAATAAGTGCCCTGTGTAGTGGGCAGCAGGGGTAATAAGTGCCCCTGTGTCTGTGGTCAGTGGGGGCAATAAATGCCCCTGGGTCTGTGGCCAGCGGGGGTAATAAATGCCCCTGTGTCTGTGGTCAGCGGGATAATAAATGCTCCTGTGTTTGTGGTCAGCCGGGGTAATAAATGCCCCTGTGTCTGTGGTCAGCGGGAGTCATAAATGTCCCTGTGTCTGTGGTCAGCGGGGGTAATAAATGTCCTTGTGTCTGTGGTCAGCGGAAGTCATATATGTCCCTGTGGTTAGCGGGAGAAATAAATGTCCTTGTGTCTGTGGTCAGCGGGAGTCATATATGTCCCTGTGGTTAGCGGGAGTAATAAATGTCCCTTTGTCTGTGGTCAGCGGGAGTCATAAATGTCCCTGTGTCTGTGGTCAGCGGGAGTAATAAATGCCCCTGTATCTGTGGCCAGCGGGGGTAATAAATGCACCTGTGTCTGTGGTCAGCGGGGGTAATAAATGCTCCTGTGTCTGTGGTCAGTAGGAGTAATAAATGCTCCTGTGTCAGTGGTCAAGGGCAGTAGAAAATGCCCTGCGTTCCAGCCCCTGGCACTCACTGCCACCCTGCACACATAGTCCCCCTCCCTCCGACTCCTCATGAGACAGCCTTGCATGTAGGGGTCTTCTCATTGCCAGTTGCCAGGGGCCAGTGTGCAGGCCATAATCATCCCGCAGGTTGTAGCTTAGAGACCACAGCACTAAAATCTCCTATAATTCCTATTTCATTCTGCAGATTTCAGTCCAATAATACCTAGTAGTCCTGCCATTAAATTCCCTGTTCAGGCACTTCCCGTCCAGAGTAATATTGTAAAGCTAAAGGTGGAGTAAGTACATTTAGAGTGGAAGTGGCTTGCTCTGCTTGCAAAACGTGCGACTTGATGCACGCACATAAAAACTGTACAAAAACAAAAATCTGCGTTTCTGCAGCCAAAACGCTAAAGGCCGTGACACTCTGCACGCGAAGCACCGCGGAGCGGGGGCGCGCTGCCTTTGCGAGCAGTGTGTCATGTAATTTTCTGCTCGGCAGCTCAGGTTGCGAGAGCTCGCGGAGCTGAGCGTGCCGAGATGAACAATTTCAACTTCAGCCAATCGGCTCGCGCGTATAAACCAGCGCGCTGCGATGCGACAGCTGGCAGGTTGTTACGGACGAGCCGATTGGCTGAAGGTGCTGTCAATCATCTGACTGCACTCAGCTCACACACTGCACGCAAAGCTCCGTGTCGGATAGCTTTGCTTCGCTCTGCACGGCTTCGCGTGCAGTGTGTCACGGCCTTAACGCCTAGGTGTGAATGAAGCCTAACTGCTGAGTTTAGTGTCAGTTTAATGAAAATTCACTGGTGACATTTCAATAAAGTTCTAACAAAACAAAATGTGTTGGGAGTCTAACACTCCCACAACATGTTACAATCTGATTGTACAATCCCCTTTACATCTACCAACAACTATGTAGTACAAGGGCCGGCTTGACTGGATACACATGGATGGCAGAGGTTAGGTAGGTGCTCTTATTACATAGTTTTGGTAGAGAGATTGTGCAGTCAGATTGTAACATATATAGTGAGCAACCACAGAAGCCATCCCTGTGCACTGCCTCTGGTTGGACCAGTCTGATCAAATTGATTCCATGGTCAGTCAGATTCCCTGGACTCTACCCAATGCCAGCCCCCCATCTCACCAATCTCTGTGTCCCCGATCCCACCGACATCCCTCTGATCTGATATCTTCAGGAGACAGAAACTGCCGCAGACCTAACCAGGAGACATCCAGGGAGGAGGAGGAGGGGTGGTGACCATGGCAACAAGTGACAACAACATGCCCTGACACACAGGACTGAGCATAGACTGTAACTACAGGTAACACTTGTATGTGTGTCGTGTCTTATAAGAAACCATCAGCAAACATTCACATTTATTTTGTGGTGACTTTCTGTATGATGTGACAGAGGTTACCCATAAAGGGTCCGCTGCTCTCCCAGGATGAGTGGGGATCAGTGTATGTAAATCTACCAGATATAGTCTATGTATCTAGTTTTATATTCTATGTATACTCTATGTATCTAGTTTTATACTCTATGTATACTCTATGTATCTAGTTTTATACTCTATGTATACTCTATGTATCTAGTTTGATACTCTATGTTCCTGCAGTATTATCAACAAGTCTAATCCTTTCCTTTATATTTGTTGCTTTCATCAAACTCAGGGGTGGGCAACTCTGGCCCTCCAGCTGTGCTTTAACTACAAATCTCAGCATGCCTCTGTCTCTGGGAGCCATGTCTGTACCTGTCAGTCTTGCAATGCCTCGTGGGACTTGTAGTTCCACAACAGCTGGAGGGCCAGAATTGCCAACCACTGATCTAAATCTTACCAATGTGTATCCGCAGGCATTTCCTGTCTTATACCCACCATGCAATTTATAGGAATGATTGCTTAGTGACTGAATGAATAAACATCTCAACACACAGATACCGATTGATGATGATCAGTCTTCAATATCAATCGAAAAACTGATCATGATTAACATTTCTTTGCTTAATTAGTGGGTACCTATGATAAGTTCTCTGCCATGTAGTACAGACTTTATATGCGGTCAGTAAGAAATGATCTATACATTTAAAGACTGACCATATCAGCATGAAGAGCTGCACACTGATGTGATTTTTAGTCAAAGGGGGGTAAAGGTCCACTTTAAGAAGCCACTTTAGCACACTTTAAGTGCAATTGTTGTTGAAGTTGTTGAATCAGCTTCAGTGTACACCACATTCAGGTCCACGCATGGCAGCCCAGTGCACTGCTGTGTGGGGATCTGCGGTGGCATTCAGCGTGCTGTTATACAATGCAGGATTTGTGATGAGCACACCGCTCATCACACTTTCGTTGTGGTGAGAATGGGACACATAGAAAACAACTGTGTCCTTGCTGCGACCTGCGCTGATCCGGTGCGGAACCACGCAGGTCACCTCTAGATGTTTGAATGGGCCCTCAGTCTTGGCCGTAGGATGTCTACTATTGCCTTGCCAACATATGATGGTTTCTTGAGCTGACCATACACGGCTGGATCAGGAGAATTGTCTATACGGTCTGTAGGCAATCTCTAGCCATGCCAGATAGATTTTCCTAGCTCAGCTTCTCACATTACTCTTTTCCTAGTTACACACATTAAAACCTCTACATGAAATGATGTTGTTTTCTTGTATTTCAGCCATGGCGACAGGCCTGAGCCAGATGTACAGTGCGGCATGTACTGAACTGAACCTACCTAACAACCCTTTCATTGAGGAAATGCTGCTACAGCTAGAGCAATCTGAGTGAGTAACGTCTGATTACATTCTGTTCATTTACATTTCTAAGAGGATTCTGCATTGCTAAAAGGTTCATCCATGAAGAATATTACTGTGCTATCAGTAGACATGAAGAATATCAGCATGCTATCAGTAGACATGAAGAATATCACCATGCTATCACTAGACATAAAAAATATCACCATGCTGTCAGTAGACATGAAGGATATCACTATGCTATCAATAGACATAAAGAATATCACCATGCTGTCAGTAGACATGAAGGATATCACTATGCTATCAATAGGCATGAAGAATATCACTATGCTATCAATAGACATGAAGAATATCACTATGCTATCAGTAGACATGAAGAATATCAACATGCTATCAGTAGACATGAAGAATGTCAACATGCTATCAGTAGACATGAAGAATATCAACATGCTATCACTAGACATGAAGAATATCACCATGCTATCAGTAGACATGAAGAACATCAACATGCTATCACTAGACATGAAGAATATAACTATGCTATCACTAGACATGAAGAATATCACTATGCTATCACTAGACATGAAGAATATCACTATGCTATCACTAGACATGAAGAATATCACTATGCTATCACTAGACATGAAGAATATCACTATGCTATCACTAGACATGAAGAATATCACTATGCTATCACTAGACATGAAGAATATCACTATGCTATCACTAGACATGAAGAATATCACTATGCTATCACTAGACATGAAGAATATCACCATGCTATCAGTAGACATGAAGAATATCACTATGCTATCAGTAGACATGAAGAATATCACCATGCTATCAGTAGACATGAAGAATATTACTATGCTATCAGTTGACATGAAGAATATCACCATGCTATCAGTTGACATGAAGAATATCACCATGCTATCAGTAGACATGAAGAATATCATCATGCTATCAATAGACATGAAGAATATCACCATGCTATCAGTAGACATGAAGAATATGACTATGCTATCAGTAGACATGAAGAATATCACCATGCTATCAGTCGACATGAAGAATATCACCACGCTATCAGTAGACATGAAGAATATCACCATGCTATCAGTAGACATGAAGAATATCCCCATGCTATCAGTAGACATGAAGAATATCACCATGCTACCAGTAGACATGAAGAATATCACTATGCTATCACTTTTTTTGCAATCTGTGTACCATTGGGGAGATTTTCCATTAATTCTTATCATCAACCCTCGCTTAGTTAGAGTGCAACTAAAGCCAAAACATTTGTTTAGTTTTGGATAGAGTGGAGAGGGATTAGAACACCTGTTTTTTTTATTCTTGTCTATGTCCCTCTCAGGGAGATTGATCCTCTATATTTGTCCTGGTGATCATTATCACTGAAAGTGAAAGAAAATTCCACATTTTGGTTTGTCATCAGAACAGGAATAGATGGGAAATCTTCCAATGGGGACACTAGTTCTGGTGACCCTGCTGACTACCAGGGATTTCCCTCTCTTTGCAGGTATTTCCTTTCACTTTCTGCTATAAATATCAGACAGGAAGTGAAAGGGAAATCTCCCCAATGGGACATAGTTGGCAAAAAAAGCTGACAGGGTTATAACCCATCGTTACTCTATACAAAACTAAAAAAAGTTTTGGCTTCAGTTCTACTTTAACACAACATCTGCTGGGGTAAAAATATGGCCATCGCTAAATTGTTTTTAAAAGTCCAGCCTCCAGGACTTTCAGTACCATCCTTCCTTTACTACTCGTTTTGCCCCTGACCTGGACTTAGTATGTGAGAATCAGCTGTGGAAAGGTACTAAGAGGAGAAGACAGTTGTTGTCGTGTGAAAGAGCAGGTTACATGCGTTTATCAGGTGTTTTTCAGCTGCTCCCATTTATTTATTTATACGTTTTTCCCTAGTTCAATATAAACCCATAAGAGTTGAAATATAGCAGCTGCCATTGCTAAGTTGCTGGTAAAGGTTGAGGCTCACTTGCTTTCTGTAGTATGGCTGCCCCAACTTCTGAGTTGATGGCCCAAATAAGCATGCAGCCAGTGTGTGCAGGCGCCAGTGAACATGTTTATATATCAGGTCAAATAGATTGTTTTCCCTATTAATATTAAGGTCTGCTTATTTCATGCTGGTTATGAATTGTCTTATCTTTTGCATCTAGACAATATACAACTACTTTAAAATTGTGTGGAAATAATCGTCTGGTGGCAGGAAGGAGAATTACGGATGAAGATTTCCTGGTTATTGCCTATATTCTGAGACACAACAGTTTTGTAGCAGGTAAGTTGAGTCATATGCCTTGCGTGAGCCCAGCTTTATTATCTGCAGTACACATGCCCACATAGGGCTCATACACTTTTCAGAAGCATATTATACAAAGTATTTGATCACATTTTTTAGGTCTTGATTTGAGGTTCAACAATTTGACTGACAAAGGCGCAGTGCACATTGCAAAGTTCCTCCAGGTATGTATTGAAACCAAATAAAGATATTGTTTAAGATACTGTATATATTTATACATCCAGTTTTATACTGTATACAGTTGTATATGCTTTTCAATATTATATGCTTTTAGGAAGGATCTTCCTTATTTCACTTAAATCTTATGGGAAACGACATTGAAACAGATGGAGCAGAATTAATTGCAAAGGCCTTGCATGTAAGTAACATACTGTATATGTTGTTTTATAGTAATAGATTGTTTGTTATATGCATAGTTCAAATACTTATTAGAAATGGCCTATTAGCAAAAATAACATGTCATGTAAAGTGAACTAAGACAATAAAAAAGAACAGCTTTCCTGTGGTTTAGTTCCTAAAAATGCCAGTGTCATGGTTGTCAGGCTGATCTTTTGGTTTCATTACTTTATGAATTACTGATTTGGAAATTTGGAATAATCTCATCCTGTTATACTATGTATTAAACCATAGGAGCTCCTCTTGTGTTCCTTGTAAGTTGGGTAGCTGATTAGCTTGATATGATAATAAAAAAGGGACATCTTCTATGTATTCCCATTGTAATGTGAAAGTCAGGACAGTGTTTAAGAGTAGGTTCACACCATTTTCTGGACCAGAAAATGGTGTGAACCTGCCCATAGCTCCAGTGCATTCCAGACCAAACAAAATAGGACAAGCAGTATGTTTCTGGTCTGGAACGGACTGCGCTGATGTGAACAGAGGCCAAAAATAGCATAGGGATACATTAGGATGCATTTGGGGTCCGGAAACAATGTGGTCTGGTCTGGAGATGATCCTGACATGGTGTGAATGGGCCCTGGAGATGATCTGAATGTGGTGTGAATGGGCCCTTATATAGTTATCATGCAAGTCTAGTATATATAAATAACTTGTTTAATTATATAGGAGAAATTACAAATGATAGATGAAAACACTTAATGCCTGTAACTTTGTACAGATTCAGAGCATCAGTTTCCATATCCATTTACGGTCTCTTAGCTCCAACAAGTCTTCTTGATTGTCTTTTGATTGTCTTCTTGATTGTCCCTTATAGAGGAATGATACTCTAAGAAGCCTAAGGATGACAGGCAACAAAATAGGAAACAAAGGAGCAATGTTCTTTGCTGCAATGCTACAAATCAACTCAACACTTGAAGACTTGGACCTTGGTGATTGTGACTTGGTAAGGTCAAAGAATGTAGTGGCCTTTCTTTTCTATTTCTTTAAAAGAGAATTATGAGGCGAGTGATTTTCACTCAGCCTCATAATCTGAGCCGACCTGTGCCAATGAAACTGTCACAGGTCGGCTCAGTAGATAGGGAAGTGAGCGAACACATATCGTCCCTCGCTCACTTCTCGATCTATTTCTGCAGAGCCGTGACTGTCACTCACGGCTCCCTGCAGGGATTCCCCCAGCGCTGACTGGTGGAACGGACGGGGGAGGGGGCCGGCACAGCTGGTTCTGCCTCTGGATAGGCAGAACCAGTTGTCAATCCCACAGCTGGGTGGATCTCGACAGCAATGTCAGGATCCGTCCCTGCTGCAGCGTCTCAGTATAGCTCGCGGTATACTGAGCTTTGGGTGGCAGGAGGACGCTAGTTTGTGTTCTCCCGTGACCCTTAGGAGAACTATGGGGAAAAGCCATGACCCCATAGTTCTCCTTTAAAGCCCAGCTTCATCAAAATAACTGTGCATACAGAATAGAAGGGTTAAAATCTGTCTTTTTATTTCTGTCCTACGCCCATCATTTTACATGCCACTGCTCTCAGCAGGACAGTAGACATATGTTAGCAGCCAGCGTGAGTGATAAGAGATGGAGATAAGAGCTTACCCGTTGACTTTTAACAGAAAGTCAGAATTTTCATATTGCTAACTGTTGTTTAGGCTGCTTTGGCTGCATGCCGGGACTGGGCTGTGCTTTCCCTTGTGATCTTGCACTGGACAGAAAGTTCAGGGATGCTAAACTAAGAGAGTTGGAGCTGTTTGGAAACATGATGACAGGAGTTGGGTAAAAATGTAAAGAAATATGCTGCTAAGCAATGTATATTTGTTTGATCTGGATTCATTATTGAAAAAGTTTGAGTTTAATACTACTTCAAGTTCTAGTGGAACTTGTAGAAAAACAAATAATTTTCTTTTATAAAAGATTTACATATCATTCTTGTTTTACACTCAGAGAATTATGTTTTTACTCAGAGAAGAACTCTGATTGCGATGTTTGCATCTGAGCTGATCTAATAACAAGAAGAAAATGAAACTCCTATTATGAAAACAAGTACCCATGATGGGACCTACGAGTCTCTAACTGTATGACAGGTTGAAGGTTTAAAAAACTAGCATCTATGTGTGCTCTCACTTCCTCCTTAGCATGCCATACCTGAGCAGGTCTTAACAAGCATAAAGTTCTGCTCACATAATACAAAAGGAGCATCTCTTGTTCTACTCTTTGTAAGTTGGACTGCCAATCAGCATTATATACAGTACCATGAGATGGTCACCGACATACTATCAGGGTCACAGATTCTGGATTGCTTATTTGCTGCTCTTTTATTGTAAGGAAATAAGGTAATAGGCCTATTTCTTGAACAGTGCAAAGGTGTGAAACGCAGAGCAAGGTGCTAAGTGCATATTGCAGAATCTTAGCCATCCTGTCAAAGGTCTTTATTTGTATGGGTGGCCTGTAAAAGCAGCACAGATCACTTTCATCTGTGATAAAAAATAAAAAAACAGCTAACTCCCGTTTTCTAGTATGTCTGTGTTCTATGTCTTACAGGGAATTCAGAGTTTAATAGCCTTGGCCACAGTTCTACTTAAAAATAATTCAATCAAGTTTATTAATCTAAACCGTCCTTTGTTCTATGTGCTACAGGTTTGTGATATATATATATATATATATATTTATATTCTGTTTATACAATCTTTACACCTTGCAGTCTGATACATGCTAACAAACACATTACCTTCTTTTGGCTTTAAGGAAGATACAACCATTCACATATCGCTGATGCTGAAAACGAATAACACTCTTCAAGAGCTCCATTTGTCTAAACATGAAATGACAGATTTTGGACTAGAACGACTCTGTGAAGCCTTGTATGAAAACACTGCACTGAAATATCTGGATCTGAGCTGGTATGGATTTTGTGCGTCAGGCAAACTCTGTCACCTAAATACATTGTTTTTTTTAACTTTGTTGAGCAGACCTCACCTTCCAAGATGGACAGAGGTAGACAGGGATATGGAAAACAAAGAATGATCTTAGGTTATCTAAATGGAAGATGAAGAAGTGGAGGTCAATAGGGGGGCCATTTAAAAAAAACAACTGTGTGGCCTTACTGAAGCTATACTGCTACTTTAAAAAAAAACAATGGTACTTTTATAAAGCACAGCCATGAGCTTTACAAATAAGTTTAGTAATATTAAAATGAATAAGTAAAACCAAAATAGAAAAGGGAGGAGGGCCTGGTCACATGACCTGTCAAAGCCCTGTGACCAGGTCTCCTCCAATTACTGAATTTGTTTCTGCTGCGTTAAGCAGAGAGAACACTACAGTCTCCTCACCACATCCTGCATTTCATGAATAGTCTTTAAAATGCATACTACAGCATGGTGTATAACAGAGTAGAGGACAATATCAGTTTTCTGTGATAAATAGGCCCCTAAGTATGTGGATTGAAACCTGCAGTTCTGGAGCATGTCAGTAGGAACTGGGTAAGGGGTCCAGTGGCTGCCATACCGCCTTGCTAGATTCCCTGATCTATCCATGAAAAAATGGTCAATATATGGCCAGCTTTACACAGTTGGATTTCAGTGGTACAAACCTTGCACTGTACATAAACATCCCTTTTCTCCAAGTACTGAGCATCAGCTTACAGTATAACAGACCATCACAGTGTGAAGAGTATATTGGTCTGGCCATAGGTGGGCAGATATGCCACAAGGCCAGATGGTAAACAGGCATTACATCCATTCTCTATAAAAGAGTGAAGGATTGGCCTTGCGTGTAGGTACATTTAAGATATAGAAAATGTTTATGCACATTAACAAGCACCTCTGTCTGTCTTAGTCACTTGTCATCATGAAGAAACAGCTCAGTAATTGCAAGAAAGACTAGAAATGGATTGCATGTTTGCTTTTACTGTCCATGGCCAGCCTAAGCCATGCTGTATGCAGCTCCACTGCCTGCCCTTTAAATTCCCCCGAGTTCCTAACATATATAGTTCAGGTAAATTAGACTTATAGCAGAGCTGAAAGCCCACTATATGTTAAGTTGCAGGTTGTGTTTACTGAAGGAGAAGGCCTCCTTTTCTTTGATAAATATATTTATGATTTATTCTTCCAGTAATAAAATCACGCGTGATGGATTTAAGTGTTTAGCTGAATTGCTAAAGACAAATAGAACTCTGGAGATCTTAGACCTGACATCAAACAAGATGGATGACGAGGGTGCCATCCACCTTGCTGAAACTATTCATACATACAACAGCAGTCTCAAGGCGTACGTATAACAGTGCACACAGTCAGGGTTGTACTTATCATAATTTGGGCAAAGAACAGTGGGGGGAATTTATGGACACATCTGCATCTGTTTAGAGTTGGTTGCACCTCCAATCTATGTGCACTTCTACTGCACAGGTAAATTCCTTTTACAGTGCTCTTTTTTTTTTTTTACTGTGGTGCGACTCTTTACATTTTGCGACTGTATGCCACAGAAGTTCGAATACGGCACTATTTTATCATGATAATTTCAAGAGCTGAAAGTCTCCCAGCATGGAAATCTCTGCCAGTCGCAAATGTTAGAAGTGCTCTCAATCACTTCTTAAATTAGTGCAAAGAAAATAAAAAACTACAGTATAAAATTCCAATGTACACACAAAGATAGCATGTAACACTCCTTGGTGGCAATTGTAAAGTGCGTGAATGGGATAAATATTTCCAGAGCCGCTGAAAATAGTGCTTCATATTTTCTTGCCTGAAGGGGTAACACACACGTGCCGCAATGCGTGTGAACTGTTGCCATTGATTTGTATGGGTTTTTGTGTTTTGTGCGTTATTGCACGACTGATCCATGCGAACAAGCGCCTAGGTGTGAACCAGGCCTGAAAGTCCTAAAGGGCTACAGTGTCAGCAGCCCAGTGGACACGTTTCATTTTCATGTCTTGGAAGAGATCATGCGCAGACTGACAACTGACGGCAATCTAGTTACAGTGTCAGCAGCCCAATCCATACATTTGTCTGACTTGGAAGCACAAACTGAGAGGTAATTAAACTGCAGTCTCAGCAGCTATGTGGATTGCCCTGTTCATTTGCTTCCACCTAGTGATTATGTGCAACAGTATACTTAGTTAATCGCAATATTGGGTAAAGTGACACTAAACTCAGGAGTTACATCTTAAAAACACATTCAAATACCTTAACTATTAACAAAAATGTAACTTATGTGTATATCACTCGGCTGTAGATCCTCAAATCATCTCTGATTTCATGCTGACACTGTCCTTCCTTCTGGAGGGTGACTACTTTTGTTCCCCCATGGTCCCTGTGTGTGTTGTAAAGTAGTCACCGCTCCAAGCTCACTCCTGTTATAGACTATAATTCCAATTGAAATTAGCAATTTAAACGTGAGATTTTGGTCCATTACAGGAGCGAGCTTGGAGCGGTGGTTACTTTACAACACACACAGGGACCATGGGGGAACAAAAGTAGTCACCCTCCAGAAGGAAGGACAGTGTCAGCATGAAATCAGAGATGATTTGAGGATCTACAGCCGAGTGATACACAAAAGGGATATTTTTGTTAATAGTGAAGGTATTTAAATGCATTTTTAACATTTAACTCCTGAGTTAATGTCACTTTAAGCTTCTGTTTGCCAGAGAATCATTATTGGAGTAAACACTACAATTAGGGATGCACCGATACTAGTATTGGTGCCGATGCTGAGTATTTGGGCGAGTACTTGCCCAAATGCTCCGATGCCTAGCTTGAAACTTCTGGTATCAGGAAGCTGGGCAGTGAGTCATTACACGCTGCCCGGCTTCCTGATTGGCCGGCTCCATGCTCCCTCGTCACTTGCCGTTACACAGCACCCAGATTCCTGATTGGCCAGAAAGCCAGCTCCATGCTTTCTCATCACCTAGTGACGAGAAGCATGGGGACGTACTCTCTGCTAATCGGGAAGCCAGATGGCGAATCTTTACATGCCGCCTGGCTTCCTCAATAAGACTTCCGGTATCGGTATTCGGTATCAGCGAGTACCAAAAAAAAAAAAATATCGGTACTGGTACTCTATACCGAAATACCGGTGCATCCCGAACTACAATAGTAACCTAGTCACAATATGCAAATGAATTGACGATTGCGACTGTTTAAAGAATGCAGAGGATGCAACAAATTCCCCCCAGACTGTCATGTACAGTATTATTATACAGGATTTATATAGCGCCAACAGTTTGCGCAGCGCTTTACAATATAAGAAAGACATTACAGTTACAATACAAATCAAGATAATCCATATGGAAATTAAAAAAAAAAAAATTAGTTTTTTAATGCAACAAGACTAAAAACAATACCATTTAAAAAATACTTTATTCTCTTTCATAGTATTTCATTGCTATATTGTTTCTTTTATTGTTCCTTTTAGATTAGCAGTTGTGAGCAACAACATTAGTGGGCAAGGCTTGAAGGTTCTGGCGACTGCAATCCAGGCAAACACAAGTCTACAATACATATACATATGGGGAAATGTGCTGGATGAAGTTGCCTGCATGGTATGCCTTTTAATATGTATAGTACACTGCTAAACATACATAAGCTATGCAAGAAACCAGTTACAGTTCACCTTGTAGCAGTTTTTCCTCTGAAGGAATACAAGTGAACTATAATTTAAACATGTACTTATGTTTAAAGTATATCTAGTATATTTGAAGCGCCAGGGCCCAGTCGCAATTAAAACCCTGGTAGTTCTCATAAAAATGGCAAGTATCGGCACTGGTATCTGAACATCCCTATTGCAATGCCATCCGCTCGATTTTATTTAGTGCAACGTAAATAGAAACATTGACTTTTTTCTTTATCATATCAGGCATTTTCAAATCTACTTTCCACTGGGCGCCTGAGCAGCTCCTCAACAGACGTACAGCCTTATGTAGTAGATGGACGTGTCTATCTTGCTGAACTTTTTCATGGACTCAAGAAGCATTATTACTGGACCCCAAGTTATGGGATTGCAGATGATCCAGTGTGCAATTCTGGTCTTGCAATAACAAATGATTAGACATTGTACCATCTGTCATGGATGTTCTTTGTACAGTTATACATATTTATTGCCATTTACTCGGATTCAGAGTATTTTAATAAAATGTTCCAAAATGACATAAGGTTTTTACTTTACATATAAAACATACTGTATAAACCAGTTCTTAGATGTGGTGGTAGCATTGCTTTTCTTTTTCAGGCTTCTTTCTCTTTAGTTTGTGAACTTGGCAGTAGCACACTTTCTGTCCTAGGACAACAATGCTCACTCAGTGTTCTTTGTCTACGGAGGAGCATGGTTATCACCCTAGAACTGGAGGTTTGTCAGGACTACAGAAGTTCAATCCCTCTTCTTCATACCACATGGGGAGGAGTTCTGTAGTCCTTGACACACTTTCTAATAACATTGTTTGAGATAGCCGTTTAGGGCAGGTTCACACAATTTGCCGACCCAGATCTGGTCTGGAAAATGGTGTGAGCCTGCCGGCAGTTCCAGTGCATTCCAGACAAGATAAAATGACACATGCAGTATGTTTCTGGTCTGGACTGCACTGGTGTGAACAGAGGCCAGAAATAGCATAAGGATACATTAGGATGCATTTTGGGTCCGGAAACAATCTGGTCTGGAGCTGATGTGGTGTGAATGCCCCCTTTAGAGTGCACATGACAAATTTCTGGCAACTTATTAAACAGAAATAACAAAAAGATTTGTATGGTATAAAGTTGTGCAAAAACAAATACAGGCAGTACATGCAGGAGGAAGGGGGGGGGGGGGC